TATACCTCACAATTGCTATGATCTCCAGTGAAGATCAATCTTAGGAGCTTTAGAGTAGTATATTAGTTGTGGATTGGATTTTTCTTTTTTTTTTTTTTTCTTTTCTTTGGTTTTTTTGAGACAGGAGTTCTCTATGTAACCTTGGCGGAACTCACTTTGTAGATCAGGCTGGCCTTGAACTCATTGAGATCCGCCTGCCTGGAATGGCATTCCATCACTCTGTCTAGTCAATTCATTAAGCATCTTCCATCCAAGGGGCCATCATAGAGAGCATGGACACTAGAAAGTGAGGATTAGAGGCTATTTCAGAAACACCTCAATCTCGCCAAGTCTTGCTTTAGTCCCTCTAAAATTTTGTATTTCATACCCTTTAAAGAAAACTGCAGCTGAACTCAGGAATAGAGGTACCACCTTAGATCTTCCTCCTTCCTTGGCCAGCACCAAAGACATAATCATGACGTGTTTCTCCGAAGTCTGCTTTTTGTTCCTACCCTAGCAAACATTAGTAATTAATCCCTTTTATCTATACTATTACCACAGACGTGTAACTGTTCTCTCTGATTCTAGTTATGATTTCATCCAAAGGGTGTGGGAAAGAGAGGGGAAGGGAGAAAGAAAGGAAGGGAGGGGTGTATTGATGTGGGAGTGATTTCTTGTTGATGGAGAAACTGCCTAGGCCCATTTGATGGGCCAACCCTTGGGTGGGCGGAGTGGACAGAATGGGATGCTGGGAGAGGGAGGCTTGGTCAAGGAGTCGCCATGATTCTCCTGCTCCAGACAGACGCAGGTTAAGATCCTCCCTGGTAAGCCAGCTCGTGGGCTACACAGAATATTAGAAATGGGTTAGAACAATATGTAAGAGCTAGCCAATAAGAAGCTGGAACTAGCCGGGCCAGGCAGTGTTTGAAAGAATACAGTTTCCGTGTAATTATTTCGGGCATAAGCTAGCCATGTGGGCGGCCGGGTGCCGGGGACACAGCCCTGCCGCTCCTAATTCAACAGTGTAGCTTAGTCACCGTTCCTTTTTGTTGTTGTTTATCAAGACAGGGTTTCTGTCTTGGAACTCATATCCCATCAGCTCCCCGAGAAAAGAGTATCAGTATTTCTAGTGGTGGACTTCCAGGACCGAGCCCCTTGACCAAGAATAGAGTGTATACATATAGTCTGTACTAAGAAGGAAATGACAATAACCTAAAAAGGAAAAATAGTCATACCAAAATCCTTTCAGGGTCCTTCAGGTCAAACATATTCGCACTATAATAGCTTATCTCTCCCTATTATTTTCCCCAGCCATTCTGAATGTGGTGTGTGCCTTGTCTTCCCATACAGTACTCCCTTTGTCTAAAGTACTCTTCTTTCTTTCTTTCCCTTCCCACCTCCTTCCTCCATCTTCCAATGGTTTCTTCAGTATGCTTTCTCAGGAGGGTTTCTCTTACAACTGCAATTTCTATACCATATCATACCTTCTCTATTACCTCAATTAGGCTTTGTAAGGACTTCCTATTTTTCAATACAGGGTCTCTCTATATATAGCCCAGGCCAGCCTGGAAACTACAGTCTTCCAGTTTCTGCTTCCTGAGTGCAGGATTTACAGGCATGTGGCACCATTCCCATCAAGGACTATTTTCTTTCTTTTTTTGTTGTTGTTTTTCTTTTTTCTTTTTTCTTTTTTCGAGACAAGGTTTCTCTGTAGCTTTGGAGCCTGTCCTGGTGCTAGCTCTTCTAGACCAGGCTGGCCTCGAATTCACAGAGATCTGCCTGCCTCTGCCTCCCGAGTGCTGGGATTAAAGGACTATTTTCTCAATTCTCTAAATTTCTTGCAAGAGGGTAAATTCTTTGAGAACAGGGACTGACTGAGATTCTGCGAACCAGGTTAGCATATATAAGTTTTTAAAAGGTCTAAAATTGATATGCTGGAAGAACCATAGACAAAACTAAATCAAAAAAAAAGAATCATAGATAATAAGGGATACAATTTATTAGTTTATGTAAATTACTTCTTAACATGTATTACTTCTTTCAAAACACATCAATCCTATGAAGTAGGAGTTACTTTGATGTTTGTTTTGCTACTACTAAAAAAACCCCCACTACATCAACAACAAAAATCTCCTTCTAGGGAGCAGCTGGAAAGAAGGCTAAGTTGTCAAGAGCACTTATTACTCTCATAGAGGACTCAGGCTTGATCCCAGCAACCACATCAGGCAACTCACAGCTGTTGTGACTCCAGTCCCAGAGGATCTTATGCCCTCTTCAGGTCTCTGAGGGCACCAACACACACATGGTGCACAGAGTACTGAAGGCACACATACTCATATACAGAAATAAAACAAATTTTAAATAATAATTTTAAAAAAGGAAAAATAAACTGAAGGCTAAAGAGATGGCTCGATAGTTAAAAGCACTGATTGTTGCTCTCACAGAGGACTCCTTCAGTCCCAGCACCCTCAGGGTGGTGTCCCATCAGATTAGTCTAGGCTGGCAGGCCAGTGAACCCAAGGGACCATCCTGCATCCACTCTGATTGCAAGCATGTGTTTCATCTAGACATGGGTTCTAAGAGACTGGACTCTGGTCCTTACACTTACACAGCACACATTTTACCACTGAGCTATTTCTCAGCCTAAGTATGAAGTTTTTTTTAAAGATTTATTTATTTATCATGTGTACAACATTCTGCCTCCATGTATGCCCACACACCAGAGAAGGGCGCTAGATCTCATTACAGATGGTTGTGAACCACCATGTGGTTGCTGGGAATTGAACTCAGACAGTGCTCTTGGCCACTGAGCCATCTCTCCAGCCCCAGTATGAAGATTATTAAAGACAATAAGGGTTGAGAATGTTGCTCAATACTAAAGCACATATGTAGTGTGCATGGCCCTAGGTTTGACTTCCAACACAAAAAATAAAAGACACAAATCAACATTAAAGAAAAGTAAATATAGGCAGCAGTGTGCACACACTTTTATATCCAGCACTCGGAAGGCAGAGGCAGGCGATTTTCTGAGTTCAAGGCCAGCCTGGTCTACAAAGCAAGTTTCAGGACGCCAGGCTACACAGAGAAATCTTGTCTAGAAAAACCAAATGTGTGTGTGTGAATGTGCTTCCTTCTTCCCTGTACAGTGTTAGAAATGTTTATCAGTGAAACCAAGAATTTACCCCTTAATTAAAGAAGTAGATGACAAGCAAGGAAAACTTTGAAGGCTAAGACTGCCGTGATGTGATCCTGATAAGGGAAAATGTAGCCCAGTAAGAATTCAGGGTCAAGGAAAGGATAAGACAAGGAATGGGAATAAATCTTAACTTTTTCATGACAACGCTGTGATTCATACGTTCTCTTAAGATTGTGGTACTTTTTCAAAATGCCATCCAAACGTATTTTGCCTTTATAGAAAAGGAAACCTAACTAAAAAGAAAGGAGCCACCTGTTAGGTGATTATCAAGCAGGAAGCAGAGCCTGTGCTCTTTAATTACGGCCCATATAATTTTATATTACTAAGAAATATCATGTCTACATAGTGGTCAAGACTGATCAGTCTAGCTGACTTGTAGCCCCTCGTATCTGCTGTTTATAGACACGATATTTAACAGCCTAGTTTAATAAACAAACGCAGCTTTATCCTGTGCAAAAGGTCATAACACCTGCAATGAAACATAACAATTCCATAAAAGATGCAAATATAATTTCAGAATCCTGAGGTAAGAGTCTCATCTTCCACTGTATCTTTAAAAATGCCCACTCTAGGTATTTTTATATCCTTACCCTTTACAGCTCATTACAAAGGAACTATCAATCAGTTCTATAGCATCCTTAAAACATTTTAAATGGGCCAGAGTGGTTTCTTATCATACCCCCATCTTCTCCCATTACTCCCTTTACTTTAGGCTCTAAACTCAGGCATTATTTTCTAACCATATGCTACTCACCATGCTGGGGACTATATAACTTTTTGTTTTTATCAAAATGGTACCCTTTGGGTTTCAACTGTATCAGGCTTTCCTTAAACTTAAACTCTAACAGAGCTTAACCAGCAGGCCCATTTAAGCAGAAAAATACTTTTAAAAATTATCTTCTTCGTAATTATTTTTGTCACTTTACATTTGCTAGATTACCAATAAAAGTGAATTAACTTCTTTCCATCATCAAGTTGGTTTAGATATGAAAGAAAGCAGACACTTGTAGACCGAGAAATGTTCTGTGTGTTCACTGTGTCAATTTCCAAAACACACAGCGAAAATACTCCTGAAATTTCAGAAGTTCTCTTTCTTTCTTTTTTTAAGCTCATATCCTGCATTCATAGACTAGGACTCAGGGTCTGGGTTGACAGATCTGTGGTCGCCGAGGCGCCTCTGTCCTTTCACATTTTCATAAATTATGATGATCACTGAACTCTGTTAAAATTTGGCAGCAGTATTACAGTTGCCTTGAGTATTTAAAATGTTTGAGGTAATGTGGATCCATGAGTGTAAAACGGGGTACACACTCATGAGATTTCTGGTATTGAACACATACACACACACTGAGACAATTTAATGGCGCCATCTTGATTAGAGTTTCTAACTGTTCCTCTCCCTAATGGAGAGTTAGTAGTCCATTTGTCTTGGGATGGGCGCGGGTGGCAGACCTGGACAGCCAGGCTTTAATTTTTATCATTATCAAACAATGGCTTCCAACATAAAAGAACTATTACCTCTACCATGGGTCAGTGGGTCCCTGAGGAAGTGGGCCATGAGCACTGAGGCAGAATGTTCTAGGTGTCTTTACCAGCTCCTACACACATGCGCAGTAGTGCCTGGAGCTGTCGTTAGACAAAGGGCTGACCTGTCCCCAGTGTCTGTGTAACCCGGACCGCTGGTCTGAAGCTGTGTCTGCTCCAGGAAAGGAAGTGGTCCTCACACCCGGCTGGCCGGGGCTCTGGGGGCCCCCTGGCTGGTGCAGCGGGAGGCTGGGGTGCAGCGGGAGGCTGGGGAGCAGCGGCGGCCGGGGGAGCAGCTTACCGCGGTGGAGCCTTTCTTCACAGCTTCCTGAGCATACTCCACTTGGAAAAGGTGTCCGTCCGGAGAGAAGACGGTGATTGCCCTGTCGTACCGAGAAGCCATCACGATGGTCTTCGAAGATTCTACCACACCTCAAAAGCTGCCTAGGACGAGGCTGGAGCCCACGCGCCACCACGTGCTAACTCTGCCAACTCCCGGAAGTGGATGCACAGGAACGTGCTCGAGCTCCCAACGGCCTCCAGGAAGTCCCGGATTTCCAGCCTTTGGCCCGCCCACAGGATTGGGCGCCCTGGCTGCCTCCCAAGTCCTACTTGTAGAGGAGACCTGGCCTGAAGGCTAGGGAAGATGGACTTAACCTGTGTGCTCTTCAAAGGATCTGTGCGTTCGAGGCCAACCTGATCTACAGAGTGAGTTCCAGGACAGTCAGAGCTAAACGGAAAAACCTTGTCCCAAATAAAACAAAACAAGACAAAACAACAACAAAAAGGTGGATGTTTGGTTTGGTGGTAGACTTTGAATCTAGCATATTGTACAAGCCACACACAGGATGTGCCCCCAAGACACATCTCTAGCTTTTTCAAATTTTGAGAAAATCTTACTAAGTTGTCCAGGGTGGCAAAGAAATAGTGATTTTCCAAATGTTGTTACTTCTTCCTCCCCTGCCAACTCTGTAAACAAAATGGAGTTTATGAGCAAATAAGACATCAACTCGAGAAAATACTCCACCAAATAATACTACAGGCAAGAACTAAGATAATACTGTTTAATTAAAGAAAAAATTTAAGAGTCCAAAATATGGCTTAAATATGTTTGAAACTGAGCTGTAGAAAATTTATATGTAACCTGGTGCAACATTACTGCCTGTGAAACAAGTCCTTGTCCTTATCAGTAAGATGGGGATCTTAAAAATCTGCAGCAATGTGTTGTGAGATTAAAACTTGTTTATAGGTGTAATAACTGAAAATGGTGCCAGGTGGGCACTAGCAGGCAGGTACATTTAGCTATTATTACATCACATGTATTTTTTATTAGATACCATTTTCCATAGGGAAGAATCTTAAAATTGTGAAATCAGCTTTAACTAAAAAGGAAAAAGAAATGTCACAAAGACGGGAAACTCGTTTCTCTCAGGTCAAAATCCTAGATTCCAGTAGGCTTCTAAAAGTAGTTAGTAGTCGTCCCTCCCCCTCCAAGGTTCTCGTCCGCGCTGACCACTCTTAAAAAGTTAGATCTGCTCGGGGTGGGGTGGCATTCTTGATCACTTTCTCTATGCACTGATTTTACAGTATCCTGACAAAACAGCATTTGCCAGAAGACATGTGTGAGACATGTTTGATATTCTTGTTAAACATTCACTTTCCTTTTATTAATTTGCTATAATTATAGATTCATGGGAAGGCTCAAAATTGCAGGGAAAGTGAGGGCCTCCTTTCCTTAGTTCAGTCTGATGGATATACTTGCATGCCTACATTATCAAACCCAGGCCTCAGAGAGCTTTTCTAGATTCCAACAACTCCCTGCACCTCTCTGTATGCCTCTCTGTGGGATTTGCCAGGTGTCGGTTATTATACAACCAACATAGTCAAGGTCCCCTGTGCAAACACACCTAACTGGTCCCCCTTCGGCAACCTTTGACATACACTAATCTGTGCTCCACCTCTATAATTTTCTCTGCCAAAAAGTTTATTTAAAATAACGAGTATAGCCTCCCAAGAGGTTAAGAGAACAATGCAGGTTCCTTGTATCAACCAGGTGGTTATACCTTTCAGAGTTACAGAATAATAAAAGAGCCAGGGGTTAGCATTACTGTATATCTGTACATTTGAAGAAGAAATTATTTTAATTGTGTGCATTGTGTGAGCGTGTGTGTATACAGGAATATAGGCTTCTAGAGGCAAAAATAGGACGTCAGACCATTGGATATGGACTTACAAGGCAGTGTGTGGTACCTGATGTGGGTTCTGGGAACTGAATTCAGGTCTTCTATAAGAGCAGCAAGTGTTCTTAAATACGGAGCCATCTCTCTGGCCCCGTCTCTAGTTTTGACTTAAAAGCATTTTGTAAGCAGTAGAACTTCTTAGAGGACACAGTTCAGAAATACATCTTTGGAATTGGATAGAGAAAAGAGCGGAAAGATGTAAGTCAGCTTGACAAAAGGGTGTTTGTATGATGAAGGCTAGAGATCAGAAAGATGTGGCAAGGAGGAAGAGATTGCCATTTTAAACCCCTGTGTGTGTGTGTGTGTTATTTACATTTTTGTTCAGCTTTGCTTAGTTTACACTTAGCAAAAGTAACATCATGAAACAGTATAATTCCTAGAGGTTTCTGACATTGTCAATCTTGATGACTTGGGCTAACTCTCCTATTAAGAACCACAGCCAGGAGGTGGTGGCTCACAGCACACCTTTAAACCCAGCACTCGGGAGGCGGGAGGTGGTGGCAGGCAAACCTCTGTGAGTTCAAAGCCAACCTGGTTTACAAGAGCTAGTTCCAGGACAGACACTAAAGCAACACAGAGAAACCCTATCTCAAACAAACAAAAACCAAACCAACCAAACAAAAAGAACCACTAAAAATACTGAACAAAATACTTTTTAAAAATCCATGGGCTGGGTTGACAGATGGTTCAGTGCTTAAGAGAGCTTGCATAGGACCCAAGTTTAATCTTCAGCTTCTTTGTCAGGGGCTCTTAGCCTCCTGTAACTGCAGGTCCAGGGAATCCAGTGTCTCCAGGCCTCTGCACACACATGCGCAGAATCATGTGAATGTTCATAACTAAAAGTAAAAGAGAAATTTTAAATTAGATCTGTGTCTGCTCAAGAGAGCTAACAAAGAGCTTTGTGGTGGAGTGATTCTGACATAGACAGGAAAGACAGGCTCAGCTTTCACCCTGGAGGCATTGCCTCTTCTCAAAGCACAGTTAAGAAGCTAAAGTGGGCCGTGGATAGACAAAATTGAAATTCAAAGTCTGGCAAGGTGTTATGGTACACATTTAGGCTTTTGTTGAGTTCCAAAGGTTATGGTACAGAATCAGGGCAAAAGAAAAATGCCCTGTTCTGTGTCTTCTGTGGCACAGGGGCTGTTTCCACATGCCTTCCAATAATCCATTACCTCAAAAGTAAAAAATTCAAGTTGATACATGTGCATGTGTGTGTTGTGTGAGTGTGTATGTGTGTGTGTGCATACATCATGGCATGCATGTATGTGGTGGCCAAAGGGCAATCTAGAGTGACAGTTCTCAAACCTTCTACCTTGTTTGAGATAAGATCTTCATTCAGTGCTCACTGCTGCGTTCATCAGGGTAGCTGGCCCACAGACTTGTGGGTACTCTCCTGCATCTGTCTCATTTCAGTATAGAAGCGCTGGAATTACAGATTGGGTCACCACATTTAGTTTTTACATGGGCATTGGGGATCCAAACTCGGGTCCTAATGCTTTACCACAGAACCACGTCCCGGGCCCCCAAATAAATTGAACAGGAGAAACATGCAGGTAAATTATAATGAAGCCTGAGCCACCAATATACACCATCCATTCCATGAGCATTAACCTTTTCTTTCTTTCTTTCTTTCTTTCTTTCTTTCTTTCTTTCTTTCTTTCTTTCCTTTTTTGTTTATTATAGTTGTTTAACTTTGAAATATTCAAGGAGATTGGCTCAAGTCTAGAAGGCTTTGCTGCCCCATTATACATCAGAATCAACTGAAAGACTGGCTTGCCTCCTGCATCTGTGAGGCCAGCTGATATGGAAGAAAAAGAACTCTTCTGTTGGTATAGGAAGAAGAGGAGAGGTCACTAAAATCTAGAATAAAAATTAGAAGCTAGAGAGAAGGTGCTACTGTTAAGAGCTCTTGCTACTCTTGCAGTAGTATCAGGCACCTCCCAACTCCCTGTAATTCCATTTCCATTGTCCGGTGAGCCAAGACTCTCTTCTTCCTCTGTATACACACACACACACACACACACACACACACACACACACACACACACAATTAACACATACTAAATAAATCTTAGAAATCTGCTGGGATAAAAACCAAAATGGTCCAAGATAAGCTAAAGTTGGTAAAATGTATTGTCATTGGAATTCTTGTTTTTCTTAACTCAAAGAATTAAATTGTAATTAACAGTTTTGTAATATATCCAAATAAAGTTTTCAGACCTACCAGAGAGAAAGAGAGAGAGAGAGAGAGAGACAGAGACAGAGAGAGGAGAAAGAGAGAAATTTTCTTGCAGAGAATAACACCAAGACTTAATTCATTTCAGATTAAAACTGGAAGAAAATCATAGTTATAAAATTGAAATTCCCTGATCTTTGAAGGTACCTAGAAAATTTCCAAGGACTTTACATAGTCAAAAATAGAGTAGATCACTAATGATATATATTGATAAATATATATATATATATAAATTTTTATTTTATATGCATGAGTTTTTGCCTGGTTTATGCCTTTATACTGCATGCACACTGGGTGCCTGTAGAGGTCAAAGGAGGGCATTGATTCCCTGAAACTGAAGTTATTGTGAGTACCATATATATATTCAAGAAACCAAACCTGGGTCCTCTACATGAAGAGCTCAAAGTACTCTGGACTGCTGAGTCATCACTCCAGCCCCACTAACTTAATATTTGTCTTTTTGTTGCATAAATATTTATATTTATAGTGCAAAATAAAAAGTAGGTGATGCTACTGGGTCCGTGGTGTAAACTGAGGCACTAGCAGCAGCAACCTTGGACTAGTACATATGGTATTTCTCATCACATAGCGTTCATGAGAAAAATATACCAGCTTAAGTTTAGGATGCCCTTCAATTATCTCTAGATTACTTGTTTTATTTTTGACTGTTGAGTAACTGTCTTTGTGTTAAAAATGGTGAAGTGGGAAGCACACAGAAAGCAATCTTGCTACCTTCAAATAAATCTTATTGGTATGGAATAAGAAAGACAGTATGTAGACCCCTGAGTTGAATGAATGAGCTTCTTTTCTCCTGGCTGCCTTTGTACTTGGAAGAATGACTGACAGACTGTGGCTATTCCCTTAGGTAGGCAGGCATTTGAACATGAACAAAATGAGCCTGTTGCTTCTCAAAAAACAGTAACAGAT